ATACCCCGACGTGCTTTGTTGATTCCACTATCTTAAAATTAACAAGAAAAATCACCAACTGAAATTAAACATAAAAGAATAATATTTTCATACTCATTTCACGTTCACTTGGTAATACAGCAATTGCTGCGTTTGACAACATCGATTTTGCACACTCTTCATCATAGATACGTGGAATGGGTGTTGTTTCGTTAATTGCACGTTGTTTGACTTTTTCACGAACTTCAAGTTTTTCTTTCTCTGGAAGATGATTATGATCATCAATCGTTTTAATCAATTTACTATTTGTATCTGTATGTATGTATTTTAGCTGAACAACCATTCAGTGTACATATCCAATATTTGGCAGTAGTTGTTGTTTTATTCAATTTGAAAACATATTCGTCTGCTATTAGCAAAGGCTTTCCTTTATGTCAATTTATAAATGAAATAGCTGGAGGTTTTGCTTCAGTTAAATCTGATGAAGATGGAACCGCTGCAGCCATGAAAATAGAATTTTAGTTATATAATAGTTCTTTGTTCAACTCTTTTGGCTAGTTTATATCAGATATTAGTCATCCCCATTACTACTGGTTTAGAATCTAGACAAGTAGATATCATAAGAAAAGCAACAATAATTCGATATTTATTTTTCGACATTTTTGCTCTACTATATTTTTTCTTTCAACATTTTTCCTTTCGACATTTCTCCAGCACACCAGAAGTACATAGAAGTATCAAATATAAATTTGTGGGTGCTACCTCTGCGTCAACAAATCATTATCAACTTCATATCATTTGGAAGCTCTACTGAAGAACTACATTCACACATGAAATTATAATTAGAATACCCAAATATCCTTGATTTTCCCATTTAGATTCTAAAAACATTTTCACTTACAATGGAGGTGTGTGAGATGATAAGCGAAAAGATGGCACATATCTGTGTCAAATGAAAGCCCTTATCGCCAAACTAACAAGGTTAAAATATTAGCTGCCCATGGTGTCTCTAGAGAGAGATATTCGATTTTTACGTTACTCAAAATTTAGGTATATAGGAACATTATGAATTATTTACATTAGTTTTTCATGCCATGAACTGAGTATTTCAATAGTAGACAACAAGAATTTTCCTGAATTTTATCAATATCATTAATATCACATTAATTTTCATATCTTCTATAAGTCAAGTAGGATCGAAATATTGTATATGAATATCAGCTAGTAGCGATAGAAACGTTTAAGAGAGGTTTCGCGAGAATATCGAGCATTGCACCATAGGGCTGGAACATGGTCGGAAAAAAATCTTGTTTTTTTTATCTCATTCGATTGCTTGAAAAAACTAAGATTATGAAAATTTTTTTAGATCTTGAAAACTTTCGTTGACGGAGTTATAGACTTCACAACAATTGGGGGGTCTGAAAAATAGCAAAAAAATATGTTTTTTTTTATCTTTTAGTATTTTGCCCGTTACTTTGCCATTTTTCATGTTTTTTTTTTTGGGCAACATCTCATTCAAAAGAGCTCATTAAACTGAACAAAAAAGTCTCTTATGAGACTTCTAAAAAATGAAGTCTTCATAGGGAAAAAACGAGTTTTCCAAAAAAACTCAGCATTTTTCGGATGTAGTGTTTTTCCTTTGCAAGCCATTTTTCGAGGCTATGAAAGTCGAATAGGAAAATCTAGTATGGTGTATTTTGTAGAGAATTTCACGCTCTACAAAATCCATATAAAAAATTTAAGAAAAAAACCTCACGTCAGGTCGCAATTTTAAGAACAAAGGAGAGCAATAAGTTCTTTTATAAAAAACAAAAAGAGGAAAAATCCATTATTTTACCACTCAGATAGTCAGAAAAGAGAAGATCTGTGATTACTGTTTATTCTTTAAAAGATTGTGTCGTTTTGTCTATCATTTACTGATTTAACACTCAGATGTGGCTTACAAACTAGGATATATTACTTGAAACAAGGAAAAAAGTGTTTGAAGCACAATACGTTAAAAAATCGAAATGAAAAATGTAAAAACTTTCTTGTGTAACTTGAAACCAGATGATATCTACACAATAAAAAAAATCATTGTGAATAAACGATATACGTGACAGCATAATTCACTAAAGAATGCTTGTTAGAAAAAATGTGATGGAGGTAAGAAAAATTTTCAAAGCATTCCACACATAAAAGATGAACATGCAGCTCGACCAAAAGAAGAATTATTTTAATACGATGATCAATTTTGCATGGCAAAGAGTGTGTAGATGGTAACTTATACCGCACTGGTAAAACGAATAAACTGCATCAATTATATTTATCTTAGAGAAAATAATCTTAGGCTAAACGTACTAGTATATATTGCAGTTGCAAAGTATACGTTTGATGCTTTTTATGATCACTAATGAAGCTCATGAACATTCGTCACTATTGTAAGTAGCGTCGAACAAGACAAGTAAGAACACATGAAAAAAAAAATACTCGTCATTATTGTAAGCGGCGTCGGGCAAGACAAATAAGAGCATATAAAAAACACTCGCCATTATTGATTGGCTGGCATATATGAATATACATGTATATGTGACGGAACAATGATCTTCTATCAGGCGTAGGTTATATGATTTTTCATTTTTCTTCAAATAAATTTGATATAAACAGACCAAATTTCTCTTCATAACAAATAATTTATTCTCTCGAACATTGGAACACTGAACAATTTATCATAGTACGTATATGCTTTCACTATTGTAAATCAGTTTTCTATACTCATAACTTATTTTGTACTCATAGTCTACGACATCCTCAAAGATATTCAAATATTTTCACGTAATTTGTTTTACTTTAAGTTTGAACACAAGTTGAACTAAAGTCTACGCACGATATTTTTTTATATATCTGCTCTCCCGAGCTAATATTTTAACTTTTCAAAAGTCAGTTAGTAGAATTTTTTTATTATATTTACGAAGAAAAGCCATACAGTTCTCCTTAGAACTCCTTAGAGACACAGGAAAGTAAGACTTTTCGATTGTAACTTTGTAAACCAATCTAATAAAAAAGTCTTTTCTACGTTTTTTTTCCACACAAAATACATTTAAAAATGACAACTACAGGTTCTTCAGGATGTCAATGTTTTTTCTTTCTGGACAACAATTGTCACTGCGATTTAAACTTACATCGTTTCTCTGAACTTTTAAGTCCGCCTAATAATCGTCGTTATTTTCCGGACTCTAAAACTACTCTAGAGCTGATTTTGACCAAAGCAGATCATTTTACAGAACAGAAGTTTAAATTAAAGAAAACCTTCATTTGTGGAAAACATTTACAATATTTTTGCAAGGAAAGAAAACCAAGCACAGTTATGAAATGTATTGTGTGCCAACCTGTATTTAATAAAAGTACTGTAGTCAGGTCAAAGAAAAATCTAAAAAATATAAGTAGAGAAGAAGCGTACATTTTGTTTGAAAAATATAAAGTTTTGAATAGTTATGGCGACGTAATCTGCTATAATTGCAGTGACCAACTGCAAGAAATGATGAAAGAAAAAATATTTCCGGCAGAAAAATTAATTTGGTTGAATACTCTAACTGAAAGAAATGACAACGAAAGTGACGATGATAGCGAATCCACTTTTGGAGTGTCTCTCTATACTCCTTCCCAGTCTCCCATAACTAAAGATCAACTGAATGAAAGACGAGATTATTTGAATAAATTGTTAGAGATATGCGCCAGTAAACAAAAAGCGTGGATAACGCCGTCATATAAAAATTTGAGCAATAAAGCAAAATCAAACTTTCTATCACATACTCGTTCTATCATAAAATTAATTTTATCGATCTTAGCACCAAATGATGTAGAAGACGTACTTAAAGAAATGTATCACGAAGGCGAGGCCGAGAATAATTTAGTGATAGATGGCAATTTTGTGAATGTAATGCGTGGCGTAGCACAGGCATATAACAATGCCGAAGACTTGTCTACACGTAGGTCTATATTGAGTATAGTTGCTCCTAAAATGTCATATCAAATGATAGTCTATTTTATTCCTGGTCTCACCTTATACAGATTTACCTCAGCAAGACTTCATGCTGCTACGATGGGCACTGCAGTAGTAGTTGAGCCGAAAGAACGTACAGTGAAACGTTTTGATATTGCACAGGTGCAACATTTCATCGATTTTATTACTTCTTCTTTGGTTTCGACTGATTTGCCCTTTGGCAAAAAAACGTTGAAACTGAGCGACGGGACGGAGCTTTATGTTCCAAATAGCATCCGAAATCAAATACCATCTCGTATAATACAACAATATTTTTGTTTTTGTAACGAAACGGCTATGAATTTTCCTCCATTGGAAACTACCAGCTTATATAAGATGCTTGATATCTGTAAGGCTAGTACCAGGCGTTCATTTGCCGGTATCGACTATTATAATGCTGATGCTGGTGAAGCTTTTGATAATATTATAAAAATGGTTGAAAGTTTAGGTCCGATGTCTTCGGAGCACAGAAGACTTATTGAGAATTTGAAACAAAGCAAGAGATATCTCAAAAGTGATTTTAAAGTTCATGTTTGTAGTTCATCAACAGTAGCTGATCATTGTTCCACCTATGCTTTATCCGATGCGAAAGACAAATGTTTCCATTCAATGTGTGATCATGACCACAAAGATCAATGTGAAGATTGTATTTTATTAAAAAATACTTTTCTTGAAATTGAAACTGTGTTAAATGATACAATTTCAGATAAGGGAGAAACAGAACGAACTATTTCCAAATTTAAGTTAATGAAAGAAAGTATTGCTCTTTGGAAGTCGCACCAACTCAGAACTGTACATCAAGATCGATGTAGAGACGAATGTCTTTCGTCTTTGCCCTCCGATAGCTTTTATTTGTATTGTGATTGGGCAATGAAATATTTGCCCAGTAAATATAGAGAACCACAGAGCGAGTTTTTCGGAAAAAAGGGTATTAGTTGGCACATTTCAGTTATAGTGAAAAATAACACTGATACTTCCACCAGAACGCAATCCTCTGATGCTGATCGTTCACCAAGTTCCAATTACGTTTATAAGGTCTTTGTCCATTGCTTTGATCAATGCACTCAAGATGCTACTTTCGTGAGCGCCATTATCAAAGATGTTTTATTGCGTATGAAACAAAAAGATGCAAGTTTAAAGCGGTGCTTTTTACGGTCTGATAATGCTGGCTGCTTTAAATCAGCAGAAACAGTTCTAGCAGTTCCTAAAATCAATGAAGAAACTGGTATACAAATTGAGCGTATTGATTTCTGTGAGAGCCAGTCAGGCAAGGGGCCATGCGATAGATATTCTGCTATCATAAAAGCCAACATCAGAAGATACATTAATGAAAAAAATTGCGTCAGTAACTCTTCGGAATTTGTTGAAGCCGCAATGTCTAATGGCGGAATCGCAGGTGTAGAGGTTTTTGAAAGTCAGCTAAAGAGTTCTTTCAGTAGACAGAAAGCTCAATTGTCTAAAATCTTCTATTTTAATAATTTTCATTTTGATAAAGATGGATTCACCGTACATAGAGCTTATGAAATTGGGGAAGGAAAATGTTTCAGCTGGAAAGACGTAAAGCCGCTAAAAGCTGTTCCAACAATTGAGTCTAAATATACTATACTTCCAGAGAACTCAACTCGTTTTACCGCTCCTTCTGCAGCTCGCTCGAGAACTACATCTGATACTAAAAAGAGGTCGAAAGACTCCGTTTCTACTTCTATCGAACAAAAAGAAGGTATCTCTGAAGAGATCTTTGAATGCAATGAGGATGGTTGCGTTGAGAAGTTTTTCAAACTCGGTAATCTCTTGCGCCATATCTGTAATGGTAAGCATACTTTATTGCCAGAACGGCAATGTCTCGGAGACACACCAGCACTAATTTACAAGGCTAAACTAGAAACAATTGAAAGTAGACAAATGTATTCTCTGTTACTAGAAACTTCTCGAAGAAAAGAACTGTATGATGATCAAAATCGTTTTCCATCTTTGCCACAAGGCTGGGCTCTGCCTCCAGAAAGAAAAAATATTAGATTGACTAGTAAACAGGTGAAATATTTAACCGAAAGGTTCGAAGAAGCTCTACGCAAAGAGAATCCAATTCGATGGAAACCAGAAACTGTTGCGGAGCATATGCGAGAACATAAAGTTTCTGGAAAGTTTTTGTTTGAACCAAAAGAATTTCTAAAAGTTAGCCAGATTCGCTCCTTCTTCAGTCGTCTAAATGCAAAAAGAAAAAATCTACCTAGAACGGAGGAAAATGAAAATGAAAATGAGAACGAGGAAGCAATGGAAGCAGAACTACCGCTGGAAGCTGAAGAGCTATTGGAAACAGTTAGTAAGAGTCTTCCTCCAGTAGACGAACAATCTTCACCAGTTCCACTGAAAAGACCTATTTCGAATCCAATACTGACTGAACCTAAACGTTCCTCTTTTCGGCTTAAAGAGGAAAAATAGTTTCGTTTATAAAAACGTCAAAAGTACTTTATTTTTACCATCAAACCTACTTGACACGCTCAAAAAACTGGTTTAGTCCATGCTGTGGGAGACCGCCCGCCTTAACACCAAGGCCGACACTCCTCGCATAGACTAAAGCAGTTTCTTGTACGTGATCAAAATAGTAACAGAGTATTTTTCAGAAGTCTTATCTGATTATGCCAAAACTTTTTTCTATCGATTTTAGTCACAAACACATGGATATTTACAGTTAGTTATGATCTATTCTCACGTTTAGGCTAGCGAATATTGTTGAAGTTTTTATTTCGTTCTTCTTCTACTTTGGCTTTCTAGTTTTGATTTCTTTTTTTTTGTTGTAAAAAGTTTTCTTTCTTGTAAAAAGCTTGAAAAAATTGTTGTTGACTTTTTTTTTAATTTTGAGATGCATTCTATCTGCGAAAACAGTTTGTACAAAAACTGTTCATGTAAAAGAAACTATCATCTTCCTTTAACATTACCACTATATGATGGCCACTCTCACATTGATTTATTTTACAATTATGGTTATAAACACACTGATTTAATACAACAATTATCTGGTGGCCGAAAAATTGTACTGATCGACAATAGACACAAATATTTTCGTTGGCTTCATAACTATCAATTATCAACTCCAAATGCAACAGTTTATACAACATTTGGAATACATCCTAAATATATTCCAGACGATCTGGATTTACAGATAAAACGACTGGAAGAGATCTTCGTGCAAAAGGTAAATATAAAAACTAAACTATGTGCTTTAGGTGAATGTGGATTAGATACTACGAGTGAAAACTCGTATGAATCTCAAATGAAAACATTTCAAGAACAATTGAAACTAGCATCTAAATTATCTTTACCATTAGTACTTCATTGCCGTGGAAAAGATTTGTTTTCACCAATGTTAAAAGCAGTGAAACAATATTTACATCCAACTCATTCAATACACTGGCATTGCATTCATGCTACAACCAACCTAACTGTCATATTTGAATATTTGAACTACTACTATAAATCTTATGTTGCATTAAATGGTCTTAGCATTTATAACGACGATATTGAATTACAGAAGACTTTCATTAGATGGCTCAATACTCAACATAACATTACTGAAAGAATAATATTAGAAAGTGACTTTCCATTTGCCAAGTCAAAGCTTTTACAAAATTCACAATTTAATATTGTAAGTTCCATCACAATTACAGCACAATACATTGTGGACGTCCTTCGACAAAAAAATATGAACACAACGAAACTAATTCACAGATCAAACAATAACATCAGGCAAATGTATAATATTGACTAAACATTATGAACAACAAAAAAAAATATGTACAACTTTCTTTTTCTCTTTTTTTTGTCCATTTGAAAATCTTCACTTTTACTGCGTATACATAGGATTAGATCAAATTTAAATAAACATTAAATAAATAAAATGAAAAACCTGTTCATAAGCAGAAGAACAGGTGGCTAAATATAGGACGATCTTACAAAGTCTTTGACCACAGAAAAACTTTTTTTTCGCCTAAAATTGCTTTGCATGATTTCTTCAAAACAAGTTTCTAGTTCAAGTTTTGACACGGAAGGTATCTGAATACTTTAACGGCACAGTAATAACTTTTTTTCTGACTGAAAAGCGAATTTTGTATGTTTTTTCTTTACTTAGAGGACTTATTGCTGTCCTTTGTTCTTAAAATTGCGACCTGACGTGAGGTTTTTTTCTTAAATTTTTTATATGGATTTTGTAGAGCGTGAAATTCTCTACAAAATACACCATACTAGATTTTCCTATTCGACTTTCACAGCCTCGAAAAATGGCTTGCAAAGGAAAAACACTACATCCGAAAAATGCTGAGTTTTTTGGAAAACTCGTTTTTTCCCTATGAAGACTTCATTTTTTANAATCAGATTTTTCTTAGAAAAAAAATTCTTTGACTGAATGGAATGGTATATATTGCAGTCGCAAAGTATGCATTTGATGCCTGCTATCACTACTACTGCAGTAAATGAATACTCGTCATGATTGCAAGCAGCTTCGAACATGACAAATAAAAGTACACGAAAAAGAAAAGAGTCGCTTTGATTGTAAGTTGCTTCGAACGTGACAAATAAGCGCGCACAAAAAAGAAATAGTCGCCATGATTGTAACCGATTTCGGATGTAACAAATAAGAAAACGAAAAAAAAAAATTCGTCATCATTGGTTGACTGATATATATGTGTGTACCGGAACAATGATTCTCTATCGGGCATAGGTCAAATGATTTTTCATTTTTCTTGAAATAAATTTGATATACAAACAGATCGAATTTCTATTCATAAAAAATATTTGATTCTCTCGAAAATTAAAACACTCAGCGATTCGTAAAGGTAAGTAAATACTTTAGGTTTTTTAAATCAGTTTTCTACAATTAGAAATTATTTCATATTTATAGTCTACGACACTCTTAAAGATTTTCAAACATATTTACGTAACTTGTTTTATGTTAAAATTGATCACAAGCTAAACTAAACTCTACTCACGATATTCCATTTATATGACTGCTCTCTCGAACTAATATTTTAACTTTTCAAAAATCAGTTCGTAAAATTTTTTTTATTATATTTACGAAGAAAAGCCAAACAGTTCTCCTTAGAACTCCTTTACAGACGCAAGAAAATAAAGGCTTTCGATTGCAACTTCTTAAACCAATCTGATAAAAAAACCTTTTCTACGTTGGTTTTCTAAACATAAAATAAATTTGCAAATGACAACTACAAGTTCTACAGGACATCAGTGTTTTTTCTTTCCTGACAATAACTGTCAATGCGATTTAAGTCTACGTTGTTTCTCTGAACTTTTAAGTTCATCTGCAAATCGTCGCTTTTTTCCGGACTCTAAAACTACTCTGGAACTGATTTTGACGAAAGCAGATCATTTTGCAGAACAGAAGTTTAAATTAAAGAAAACCTTCGTTTGTGAAAAACACTAACAATATTTCTGTAAGGAAAGAAGACCAAGCAAAGTTATGAAATGTACCGTGTGTCAACCTGTAATAAAGAAAAGTACTGTAGTCAAGTCAAAGAAAAATCTAAAAAATATAAGTAAAGAAGAAGCGTACGTCTTGTTTGAAAAATATAAAGTTTTGAATAGTTATGGAGACGTAATCAGGTACAGTTGTAGTGACGAACTGCAACAAATCATGAAAGAACAAATATTTCCAGCAGAAACATTAATNGATGATAATAATAAGAACATTAATATGTCATTAGAGAATGGATAGATGACATTTTCTATCTCTTGAAACACTAAATTGGGAATAAATGTTTCGTCATTATGACATTTTCTTTTCATCAAATCGATTTCTTATTTAAAATATATTCTAAAAAGGACTTTTTACCAAATCTTCTATCAGTTAACAAAACGAAATTTTCGATAGATATAAACGCATTTGTTCAAGATGATTAAATCCTATATTGTTTTTCTATAATATATAAATCTTTTGTTTAAACTTTTCAAATCAATTTTCGAGTTTTTGTCTTAAAATCAATACTCATTTTATTTTCAATTGTTTTAATGAAATAAATAGAATCTCAAATAATATTTCTTCTCTTTGAAAAAGTTATCCTTTGTTGATCATTGAGAAAAAAATCATTTTATTCTCTTCAATATTCATTTATTTCTATAAAATTCAAATGATATCTAGGGGTGCTACTTTGTCTTGACTGCAGCAAGTAAAACAAAGTGAAGTACAATGCTTCGAATTTAATGTTGGCTTTCTAGTCCAACATCATACACTGAAAATGTTGCTGTTTATCAAAATATTTGCAGAACTATTTCTCGATTAAATAAGCGGAAAATAAACGAAATTGCCTAATTGTATTACCAAGAAATAGTATCTGTAACTCTTTGAAGATTTTCTTGGGATCGTACATGTTAATTTTTAAGAGCTAATTATAAGTGATATTTCTGACTTTTTGAGAACTGTCTCACAGTAATATCTGTGACTTTTTAAGAGATAGTCCATGAGAATATTGAACATTGGCTAAGAGAACCATACTCTCTAAAAATTTGATCCCTATTTATTCTTATTTCAAACGAAAGAGCATCATTGAAAACTTCTAAATCCAAATTTTTAGCTATTTTAAGTTGTGCCTAAAAAGTTATGGAGCAAATACTGAACGGGTCTGCAACAGATCTTTTGAAGAAAACAACTTTCTCCATGCTAAACATGGTTAGTCAGTATTTGGTCAATTTCTTCATCATAAGCTGTCAGAATCTTTTCGACTAATATCTCATTTAACAGAGCCAATTTCGGTCTACAAAAATGTATATAGGCAAAAATCATTCGTGAGCGATGCGGCTTCGCAAAATTGGAACGCGTATATCTTGGGATAATGAACTTTTCACGAGCTAATTTTTTATTTGTTATATATGTGTTAAGCTATTCTAGATACCCTGAAAAATCAATCCTGGATATCTTTGTTCAGAGAAGTTCTCACTAAAAAACTAGCATCGGCGCCCAAGCAGACAGCCATGTCGATTTTGTGCAAAGTTTCTGTACAAAAGGGACAAACTTTCAGATTTTTGAAATATCTAAATTTGTCACCGATTTTCGCACGAAATCTCAATTTTTCATGTACGTTTTCAGCTATATTTCAGGCTTTATGTCAAATTTTCTCCAAAATAATTTTAACAAAATAAAAAAAGCGGAAAAATAGTTCAAAAACTTGAAATTTAGCTAAAAAAGTGCATAAAAAATTGAGATTTCACGCGAAAGTTGGTGTTAAATTTAGATGGTCCAAAAATCTGAAAGTTTGTTTCTTTTGTCCGGAAAATCAGTACAAAAATCGACATGTATGTTTGCTTGGACGATATGACTAAAAAAAAAGACATTGACTTTCACTTCATGCAGTTCGGTTTAAAAAAAACTCCGAAACTGATGCAGTATTGTTGAAAGCTAAATGGTACATTTTTGTAGACAATTCTTAAGGCTACAGAATCCCTATCCAAAGTATTTTGTGACCGCGCCTAGATTTTTCAAAAAAATCAATTTACTTTCTATTAGCGACGTGATGGAGTACCAATATGCAAACGAAAAAATGTTTTTATAACTAAATGAGAAATTTAAAATTAATTCCAAATCATACAAATCCTTCTTCAAAATCTTGAGATAATAATAAGAAAAAAATTTTCGTTTCGATATTTGATAGGACTTCTAGAGAGTCGGTTTTTATGAGGAAAATTGTTGGAGTCTGATCTTACTGAAAATTTCACCATAGATGTAGCTCGGGCCGTAGAGTCTATTTTGAAATTTTTAGATCTTTTTCTCATTTGGTTTGAGAGATATTCACTAATTGCTGATTAATCAGCTAGTTTATTTATTTATTTATTACCTTTAATTAAGTATCGTCTGAAAGAGACAACGTTTTTATATATGTCTATGCTAAAAATGTTTATTCACAAAAGTCATCCTCGTAAAAAATAAAAATCAAGTGAAAGAGGGATATGTTCCGTTTTGCCTGATTTTGCCCATATATATATATATATATATATATTGAAAGGAAGAAGGAGAAACGATAACATCGTTCCATTATACTGTTGCTACACCATGTAATTTGCACGATATGTTTGTCAGTCGATATACTATTATTGTTTCCTGTTTACTCTTTTCTAATGTAAATTACACAGGCCACTGATCATTTATCTTGCTTCTCTTTTTGGGTGTGGATCTCTTCTATTTCTGCGCCCACACTCACACCGTCGTGGTAGACAATTTTCCCAGAGACGTAGAGCATCCGTTTCTTTAGGTATACAGGTATTATAAGCATATGAAAACAAAGATTATCGACTCTGCTGAACATCGTCTTAATATTTATTTTCTTTTTAGAATAAGATTTTTTATTGCTCATACCTCACCATCATTCATTCATGGTATTTCCTTATGAAAAATAATATTATGACGAGTTATGCACCCGTTTTACTTGAGCACAATACAAGATACGAAGAGAAATAATTTTCTACTAAGAAACAGTTAAACTATTAGTGTGGTCGTGAGCATGGGTGAGGAGTGTACGATATAGGTGTAGGTTTGGATATGTGAAAATTAATGTGAATGTATCGGCATAGGTATCACTTTTAACTACACTTGCATCCACAGCCAGACATGTAGACGAGTTATTTGTGCAAATATCAAGTAATATGGCGATGACCAATATTCTTGTCAAGCATCGCGATGATCTCAATAATAAAGTAGAAGATATCATGGAGAAACTTTTGCCGCCACATAGCATTTTCAATTCAAGTTTAAAAGACAATCCTTTCGTTACTTGAACAAGAAATCATTTTAATTTCTTCTACTCTAATCTTATGTCGAAGTTTTCGTCAGCGTGAATCATGACTTGAACGCTTTGAAGGAAATGTGTTGAAGTTGTCGGTCTCATTATGAACGCGATAATGGTCAGCTGGAAGAGATTTATACCTTTCAAAACATACCTAGTACAACGCAAGCCGTCTGTTACCACGCTGAAAATGTGGTTTCTCATCAATCGATCAACGAATTCTTTTAATGCAAAGACAGAATGTATTTTCATGATTCATTGCTATATAACCAATTTCCATTAACAGTTAACTCATCTAGTCGATCAAAAGAAGCCGATTATTCTCGAAAAACGAATTTCATTTTTATCAAGGGAAAATCTTCTTGACAACTTGCCAAAGCTAAGCAATAAAGTTGATTGTCTGATTTCCATGAACGATTTTCTTTTGACTAAACAGGATTTGAATGTTGTCAGAGCGTTTTGTAGTATTGAGCTAGCTACGAGAATGTACTACTTGAAATTTACTTTCATGAAACGATGATGATTCACGGACCCTACATTAACATTGAGGTACATGCCATGTTTTTACAAGAGAAATATGTTCTCTCCACTACAGGTTCCATTTGGAAAATTGCATCGATGGAGAAAAATAATGATGACAATTAGATTATCAAATTACATTCATGCAGTGATCTTGACTCTCAATTGGGTGAAATATTTGAACCAACTTCTCGATGGCTATACTTCTATTTCGATGGATAATATCATGCATGAACTTAGAGACTGTTCTAATACCGAAAATTTTTACTATCGTATACTAAAAGATACTTCTCTTACAGATGCCATTCATGGTCATGTGTACTGTAATATTATTATCTTAGTTGTTGAATAGGATAGATACACGACTGCGCTGGACAATTTTCAAAAATCAGAAAAAATTACCAAGCCACCAAGATTATCTATTACTGAAAAACCAGCTACCCTTCGTCCACTCTAAGCACATGACCGTTTGTATTCTTGAGGGTATGGGTGTGATGTTGAGTATCGTTTAAGGCTAAACCCATCCCCAAACTTCACATCCACCTCCACCCCCACACCCACATTCACAACCACACCACAGTATAGGCTTCCTTCGGTAAAGAATGAAGATAGCCACATCGGTACCCATACATGGTATACATCGCCATTATTCAACAATAATGTTTCTAGGCATGAAATTTTGTGGTGATATACTACCGTAGGTACTCGACCTACTGGGAAACTCAAAGCCATTTTTTGATGTATTAAGAAGTATAGAGGGATTTGATAGATCCTAGATGTATCCTCTTCGTTGCAATCAGGCTTTCTATCACTGATGAGAGATTTTCCAGTCAGACAAGTAACGAAAAAAGTGCCGTTCTTATGCGTGTAACAGGCGCACATTTTAACGCGTTTAAAAACAAAATTTTTGGAAAAAAATGATTTTCACCACGTTAACGTTCACAAGCTTTCTTCATTAAAAAAAAATTTTTAGATGCGGTAAAATGTGCGCTTGTTACACTTAAAAAAGTCGCTTTTCTTCAACGCTTGCCAGCCTGGATTATGGGATCTGGCTTTGGAACTAAATAATACTGACTCCCAGCTATCAGCAGCAATTTTGAAAACTTTGTTACCTTGTTTTTGAATCAAACAAAAACCTCTTCTAGTATATTTATGAGCTATTTCATATAAGCTGCAATCTAGAGACTGAATTGAACCGAATTTTTACGGATCGAGTTTAGTTCAGTTCGGGTTCGGGTTCGATTCGATCTTAATTTTCAAAAATAGGTTCGGTTCGGTTCGTTTTTGGTCTCTGATCCACTTACCAACTCTCTTTATGTGAATGGCACAAATGAAGCAGCTCTTTTCATATGAGCAGAATCTGCTCATAATCGTAAGCTTAAACGTTGATCTACCATAACATCTGTAGACAGGCAGGAGGAGTGCGTAGACTTCACTCATATGAGAAGAGCGTAACGATTATGGCCAGCTCAGTGAGTGGTATGAGGCTGTCGCACACCTATTACACAGCGGGAATAAAAAACAGCTGTCGAAGATCAGATTTTCTTCTTATCGTTGTAATTTTTGTTTCATTTTGTCG